TGTGTGTGTGTGTGTGTGTGTGTAAAAATATGTGAACAAATAAGAATTCATATATTTATTTTGAAAGAAAAAATGAAAATGGTTTCACATATCTCTAGATTACTTGTAAGCATGAATATTCAAGGATGATTAAGGCAGTATTTGAAATTCAGTTTTGATGCTAAATTTCAACATGTATATTGCCTTTGGGCAATTATGAAGCTCACCAGGAGGCCAATGGCAAATCAATTTTTACCTGCCCCTTCACAATTTATAAACTGGAATGGAATGCAGTTAGGATTTACATACACACAAATATGCTCATCACACACTGTTGGAATGTAGTACATATCTCACGGGAAAGAAAGTTGTGAAAACAAATGAGTAGACATTGTTGACTTGTGAATGAAGACCAAAGTAATAGGGTTTAAGAACTTTTCCTTTTCTAGTGCAGGAGCTGTTCCCATCAACTCATTATGGTGATGGAGTTCCTTCCTGCCCAAACGCTAGAACGATGGGTTTTTCATTCATAGCACCATTTTTAAGGAATTCACCCCAAAATTATACTTTTAAAAATACAGCAGTCATTATTTCATTTAAACAAGCTGAATTAGCCATGGAGTTATCAACAACGTCTCTTGAACGTTAGAACATTAAAAAGGTTTTCCATCAAGGCTTCATAAGAATTAGCTTAGGAACAGATGGACCAGCATTGCATTCTGAAAGCTATACTTCAGTACAACTGGATTGCAACAGGTTTGAGAAAGCTGAAATAGACTGAATTAGATGAACAAGTAGCATAATCTGATATAAATTAGCATCTTCTGATTATAGTTTAGCTCAGTAAGAATGGTAACATTATCATTGTTACTCAATCCTGCAGAAGAATCATTAAAACATTTTATATCACAGCTAAAATGTGTGTGTGTGTGAGAGAGGGGGAGAGAGGGGGGAGGGAGGGAGGGAGAAATATTTTTCTTATTTATTTCAAAATAGCAGACTTTCTTGTATGGTGAGACTGAGTGAGTCTTCAAATGGGAAAAAGTAGTATGCAAAAAGTAGAAGTGCCAGAAAATATATGCACAAAAAACATAGGATAGGAAATAATAAAAATGAAATGCAGTTAATTCTATATGATGAGCATCAGTGATTTGCAAAGTTTAGGATTCAATGATTTTAGAATACAGCTTGTCCATTTTTTTTTCAAATCACAGAGGGGTACCCAACTCCATCTCCACTGAATATGGGCAACCTCCAAAAATACTGGTTATATTACAGTACAGTACTGGACATTGAAAAGAGGAAGAAAGGAGCAATGTGTGAATTGTGACTGCTTTTTTTTAACCTCTTCTGTGGTTTACTATCTTACATCTGATTCCACAGCCTAACATTATTCAAATGGCTATTTATATTTGTGTACATGTCCTAGAGTAACATTGCCAATACACTACAGTCTCTGCATTGTAAATGTTTTCCAGTGCAAACAAGAGAAGCTAGTTTCCCAGCCAAGAAACAGACATGAGCAGGAAGTGATCTCAGTAGGCATATCCTTCACTTCTGGAGTTAATTTTGCTGGAGCCAAAAGTCATATGAGGACACAGTTAACAGCTTAAAGTTTAACACGGGAGTAAATAAAGCAGCCTGCAAATTAAAAGGAATGCTAAAGCCATTTGAATCTTGGCCGGTGCTCTTTTTGAAAATCTCTAATTTTGCATCTGACTTGAGAACACCACTTTTTCATACGATAAACACACACGATTGCCATATGTGAGATACTTGAAGATATTTCTAGTGGCTTCATATATTGGTTAACACATAGTAATTGGCATGAAGATATCCCAGCCTGATTGTTGTGTTTTGTGAGAAACAGTTTTCAAGCCAAAAGTCTCAGGTCCTTCTCTTTAGTTTTTATGGAGGGCAAGTTTCCAAACCTTGCACCCATTCATTTCCCAAACATTTACAATGCAATTTTGAATGAAATCAAAAGACATTCATTATGTGTCTCCCTTTCCATGTTGGAGCTGATATTCCCAGGCTTTCTTGTATGGGGTTATGTTTATATTGGTATTTCTGTTCTGGCATCCTTAAATTGTATAGCTCAACAGTGTTCTTGCTGGCTCCAAAGTGGCTAGTAACTGTGTGTCCATTGCTTGTCTGGTTCCCACAAACATCTGACTCACTGCAGGTCATTGACTAACAAAAATCGCTCCTCCTCAGAATACAATGAAATTGCTTATAAGGTTATTTCTTCCCCCAATCCTTCAAATCCATGGATTTGACTAGCAGTTTGCAAAAAGAAAAGATACCGATAAGAAATATTGATTGGAAAGAAATAAACAGTGCTCACAATCATAGTGGTATGGCAATGAATCTTTATAAAGCCTTCCAAGTAACTGTTGGTTTGATGGCTTTCAATCAAAACTACACAAAGAAGCTGTTCGGAATGGTTGCAAATCTGACATTAAGACAACACTAGTACATTATGGAAGGTTTTTTTTTACACAGTGATGAAAGGTGTGAAGGAAAATCAATGATAAAGTATTTAAGAACATGGCAGCTTCATGAACATAATTTTGCATATAGCCCCCAGAAGCCCTCCGCTGCTGAAATTAGAAAATGATAAGTACACAGGGCATAATCAGACTGATTAATTTCATTTGAATTTAAGATAAATGGAATTTAAATAACACAAACATGAGATTTTCCCCGTATTAAAGGAGTGTCTTCCTCCTAATTTCTGGAATTAATCAGAAGTTAACTTTTCCCTCCCTGAAGTTTAAAAAAAATCCGAGAATGTTCCTTTTGGTAAGAGTTCCATTTGAGACAGGACCTACAGCATATTTTTATGTATCATATTTATATGATCTTTCTCACAAAAATATGACTCTGGACAGCATGACAATGAATTTAAAAGAAAAATAAATATATAAAAATAGTCATAATTAAAAGCTATAAAAATCACACAAGTAGATGTTAGGCATAGTAAGGGAGTCATTGCACAATCTCTCTGGTCACCTGGGAACCCCAGGCCTGATGATAGAGCCATCGGGTTTTGAGGGATTTCTGGAATGTTTGAAAAGGATACTTCTCCCCCTACTTCCGAGGGGAGAAACATCATTCAGTTGGATGAATGATGATTTTATCAGCATTTACCTTACTGTGCTTCGTTTAGATTAGATTAACAGAATTGGAAGGGACCTTGTAGGTCATCTAGTCCAACCCCCCAGCATTCCCTACATCATTTCTAACAAATGGCAGCATAATCTCTTCTTGAAAGGCTCCAGTGATGAAGCTCTCTCAACTTCCAAAGGCAACTTCTGTTCCATTGGTTGATTGTTCTCACTGTCAGAAAATTTCTCCTTATTTCTAGGTTGAATCTCTCCTTGATAAGTTTCCATCCATTATTCCTTGTAAGTGCACATATAAAATTGTTACTGCTATCCCTCCTGAAGTATGTTTTTGCCTTAGCAATAGCACTTAGACATATACCATTTTACAGCCCTCTCTAACCCATTTACAGAGCCAGCCTATTGCCCCCAACAATTTGGTTCCTCATTTTATCCACCTCGGGAAGGACTGAAGGCTGAGTGAACCTTGAGCCTGGTGAGATTTGAACTGCCAAATTGCAGGCCGAAGTAGCCTGCAATACTGCACTCTGACCACTGTGCCACCATGGTCAAATTGCCTTGCCATTTTCCCCCTCAGAGGCGCTCTTTAGGAAGGCTTCTTCCACCACACTTCTGATTCATGTTGCTCATTGTTCTTGGGGTGTATGCATGAGAAGGAATAAAAACAGTTCTTGGCAGATACTTGTTTAACTTTTCTCTCTAGTCTCCTTTGTAACTGTCTGCATTCACCCTTAAAGTTAGACCTTGGAGTCAAGCCTGAACAGTTAAGCCATGCAGTATGGCAGAAGTGATATGTTTATGAAATTTGAGATCACGATCTGATTTTTTTTTATTGGATAAAATCAACTTTGACTGCTTTGGAAAAGAGAAAGGAGGAGCAACCAGGAGACATGACGCTCTTAGTGGCAGCAAAACAGCAGGAGTAAATAAGAGTGCTGAAGTGTTAAGTCCCACTGATTTGTATGGAAATCTCTCATTGTTAATTCTTGATCTAAAATGAATTAACATATCTGATAAATAAGAACAGACGTGAAAACTGTTCCACTCCTTTTCTCATGGCAATCTCTAATATTATTCTAGTATTGTATAGCTATCAAATAATACACCCTATTCTTAATCATTCAGGTTTCACTAACTACATACAGTACGTTGCTCAGCTTGTACCTGGGATGCAGAAACTTTTCCTTGTTTTGTAGCCAAATTAGACATCGCTGGAAACATTTATCATATGGTTGTATTAATTTTGACACTGACATTTGATCAGAATGTTAAAAAGACAAAGAATAATAATTATAAACTTCTTGTGTAAACCAAATGATGGAATATAGAAATCCTCTACTTCCTTATTGCCAAATTCAGTGTTTACTTTTTACATTTCTTGCTGAGGGCAGCTGCCAACAACGATTTGATGTTATTTGATTCATTAATTTACTTTAGTGGAATGGGGGGGGGGTGGAGTCTTTCATAAACTTGTTTCACAATGTCAAGAAACAGAGGAACTGAGTGCTTCCTAGGTGATGCGGTTGTGTATAAAATGCAACAGTACCCAACAAAACTGCTCTTTTAAAGTTAAACTACCACTAGGAATGTTTAAAATTCTGATGATTGCATTTTCCAATTTTGTTGCTCCAAAATAACTCAAATAGGCACACAGTCAGCCAGACAATCTAGATTTTTGTCCACCTATTTGAATCCTTCCCAAAAACCTGGAATAGGCAGGTGTTGTTTAATAATATTAAAGTGTCCTCATATATGGTGTTCCAAATAAAATATTGCAATCGATTGATGTGATTTTGTCAATGCTGCAATGATTGAATTGAAATGGTGCTCCAGGTTTTTTTGAATTGCATCTCCAGTTTGTTTTCTTCTATTCTGATCTCCAGGTATTGCAATATCCATTATCCAAACTTTTTGATCTTTCTGATCAAACATTATGTGCTATGTGGCAGATACCTGTATTCTAAAGTCCCATATAGCTTCTTCATTCTTTATCGCTTTGTCTGTTTGTTTGTTTTTGCAGGCAAATAGTATTTCTTGCAGATATTCCAATGCACTATTGATGTTTGTCATACTGTTGCTTATAGTCTTCATGAAGCAGCGAACTAGGTGGTCCATTGATTCTTCAGCTTCTTTGCAAAGGCGGCATTTTCAGCCTTACTGTTTTCTCAATTCTGACTTTGTTTGTATTCATTCTTAAGGTGTGGTCATATGCCACCAGAATTAACTCCTCTGCTATTATTGTTTTACAAAACAGAAGGAGGGAAACTCATAAGACCTTTACTTAAAATCAGGTTTTGCTTATTTGTTTTTTATCTGATCTACCTTTTCCTTTATTCACACTGAAACCTAAGGCATACACTATCCACCCAAGCATTTACTTTCAGCAAGGTTCCTATATCATGTACATTGTTCCTTAGCCGTTTTCAAAACAGTTCCCTTTGCTACTGAATCTAGAATTGGTCACATCTCAACAAACTATAGCACCCCTGATTCTTGGAGAAGTACTGTAAATGCACTGGAATAACACCTTGAATCATCACTGAATTCATCAGGGGTCCTCAGCAATGTGCCTTCTTTTCATGCCAAGAAGTATCTCATTTTTCACGAAAATCTCATTACAGTTAAGTCTGCCAAGAGATATTCACATTCACTGCATGTGTAACTTCTACAAAATTGGTTTAGTACAATATAAGAATATGTTGTCATTTTCTGTTCACTCAAAAAGCGCAAGTCATCCCAGCTATTATTCCAGTGCAATACACTATAGATATTTAAGTAAGCCAATTGTGGGCTTCCATATAGAGCTAAAGGATCATATATAAGCCCTCGCTATCCCTCTCTTGAATATGTATGTATGTATATGTATATGTATATGTATATNAATTAGTTGGCCATTGGGCATTTCAATTCCCTCACATGCAGTGATTTTGCCCCTTTTTATGGATACAGTGGCACATTTTTCCATGCCAAACTGCTCTTGCCATTTCCAACCACACTCAATTTGTTGTCAGTATCCACAATTTTATCTCTTTGCTCAATTTTTTTTTCAATTTTTAGGACTCTGTCCTTTCTTCATTTGATAAACATCCTCAATTTTTCCATCAAAATTTTCTGGTTTGTGTTCTATATTCTCCAATCTCTTCTCAATTTTCTCTGTTTCTACTAATAATTTTTGAATTTCAAACATGATCATTTGCAATGTTAAAGTTTCTTTTTCCTGTTGCACCATTCTTCCAAATTGTAAACACTGCCACTATAGCATTCAAGGCTTTTTATTAAATTTCAAGCAAGTTTATTATAATCTTTAAAGTCAAGGTTTGTCTTCCTTCCCATCCAGCTGGTGATAGAACTCCTGAAGAACACCTCTATAAATAATATGTGCTCTTCCTACTATCACTCTCGGTAAACAAACTGAGAAACCTTGAAGTGTCAAATGATCAAAGAAAAAAAAGGAAAAAAAAACAATGTTTCAAAGCCTCCAGCCTCTAAGTGGCAGTATTACTTCTTTTCCCTTTGTTGTTACAACCCTCTTTATATTCCTTTTTATATCTTCTTTTTGTCCCAAATTCAAAGAGAAAACAATTCTTAAATGGAGGGGGAAAAAACAATCCAATTGAGCATTATATAAAAAAAGAAAATTTTAATCCATAGGTATAAGAAAGAATAAAAAACAGAAGAATAAAAACTAATCCATTCAGTTTAAAAAGTAGGGAACATTTACAAAAATTCCATCCATAAAAAGAAAAATTAATAAAAGATAACAGAGTAAGTTTAATGTAATTTAATTTCGCCTCTTACTCTCTTCTGTCTGCAATTTTAATTTAGCTGATTTTTTGGGGGGTAGTCTCTTTTCTAACAATAAAATTTCCTCACCAATTCGACATGCTTTCTCTTTCTGCTTTCTTTCTGTTCTGGAGTGTCCCAACTTCAGCAGCTTCAAAGGCTGTGTTTCTGTAGTCGGAAATGAGAGCTTCTCCTGGATCAATCAGGGACTTTGCGGTGTCCCTGAGATCAGCAAGACGTAGTCTTCACTATCACCGTCTCTGCGGGACAGTTTAGGTCCAAAAAGACCGTCCAGCGGCAGAAATATCGACTGCGATCTTGGAGCTCCAAGAT